GTCAAGCCGCCTGCTATCGCTGTATCTATCGATGATTTCTGTGTTGTTTACTAGGATTTCTCTGGCGATGGTTTGGTTATGGGAAGAGATTATATGTTCCTTAATGGAGCCCTGTTGCTTATGCATCGTTAAACGCCTAGAAAGAGATGTTGTTGTCTTGCCTATATACTGGGTTTTTTGGAGCTTACAGTCCCCAAGTGGGCATTTGAAGGCATAGACGACGTTAGTCTCTTTTAAAGCGTTCTGTTTTGTGTCTGGAGAGTTTCTCATGAGTAGGCTGGCCGTTTTTCTGGTTTTATAGTAAATCGTCAGTTGTATCCTCTGATTCTGATACACTCGACAGAGTGTATCGTGATCCAGCCTGTACTCCTCTTGACATGCCAGAAAGTATTCTGAGGAAACTACTCCAAGCTTGTACTAAAGAGGCACCCTTCTTGAGCCCGGATGGGCACATGTATAAGCAAGTAGATGGGGTCGCCATGGGTTCTCCCCTAGGTGTCCTGTTTGCAAACTTCTACATGGGTACCATCGAGCAAAAAGTCTTAGTCGACATGAACTTGAAACCGGCCATATACTGCAGGTATGTTGACGACATTTTTACACAGGTACCTGATGTCAGACATCTGCAGGAGCTGAAGGAGGCATTTGAGCAGAGTTCCGTGCTGCGTTTCACTTACGAGACGGAAAAGGATGGGAAGCTGCCTTTTCTAGATGTAACAGTCAAGGAAAAGGGCGGAGGTTTCCACACTGCAGTCTACACTAAGGAAACAAACATAGGAATGTGCCTAAATGCCAACAGCGACTGCCCCGGCAGGTACAAGAGGAGTGTTGTTAACGCATACGTCGACCGTGCTCTCAGCCACAGCTCAGAATGGAAGCAAGTCGACGAAGAACTCTGTAGGGTAAGGCAGGTCCTAGTCAATAACGGCTTCTCCAATGGTTTCATCGAAGACATCATAAGAAGGAAAGTGAAAAGCCATGCAACCTCTGAAGAGACAACTAACACAACACCTATACCCCCTATTAGACTATTTTACAGGAACTTCTTTTCCACAGCTCATAAAACGGAGGAAAGGGTCCTGAAAGATATTGTTAATAGAAACGTTATCCCTACAGACAAAAATCAGAGGATACAACTGACGATTTACTATAAAACCAGAAAAACGGCCAGCCTACTCATGAGAAACTCTCCAGACACAAAACAGAACGCTTTAAAAGAGACTAACGTCGTCTATGCCTTCAAATGCCCACTTGGGGACTGTAAGCTCCAAAAAACCCAGTATATAGGCAAGACAACAACATCTCTTTCTAGGCGTTTAACGATGCATAAGCAACAGGGCTCCATTAAGGAACATATAATCTCTTCCCATAACCAAACCATCGCCAGAGAAATCCTAGTAAACAACACAGAAATCATCGATAGATACAGCGATAGCAGGCGGCTTGACGTTTGCGAGGCACTACACATCAAGAAGTCAACACCAGCAATCAACAGCCAATTATTGCACAACTATATTCTACCCACCTCAAGACTCCGCTCCAATATAGAAGCATCAAGAAATATGGACCAATAGGCTTTCTACAAACACTTCTATTCAATACCCATTGTTTCTGTTCTGTCTTGTGTTGATACTTTTAATACCCTATTAATATCCCCTCCTGTTCTGTCTTGTGTTAATGCCACATCACCCTTCCCACCTCACTCAAATGTAGATATAATATCAGAGAGACGTAAGTTCTAATCAGTTGTGTATTTGTGAAGTCTTTGAAAATGTAATAAGTTTTACGAAACGCGCCCGTGTCGCGTCAGACTAGAAATAAAAATGAATTTTGGAGAAGTGATTTTTGATTTACCTCCAACAGTGAAGCGTAATGTACGAAAGATTGAGAAAATTCGTGTTAGAATTATTAATCTTACTTTTTCGGTCATATTTAATAATATATATAATATATATATATAAATAATATATATAAATAATATATATATATAAATAATATATATATATAAATAATATATATATATATATATATATATAATATATATATATACAGTATACTCTATAATTAATATATTTTGGTAGCAGTCTTTCATGTAAACATTGTAAACATGCAGAATCCATAACCCTGGGGAGATGTAACCCCCCCAACCTGTTATGAAGACACGACCGCCCTCCCATCTCCTGAGGAATGACAACCTGCCACCCCCACCCTCTTGGAGATAAATATCTCATGACCCCCTAGTGGAAATGGCCTCCCAACCCCTGGGGGAAGAGAGAGCCCCCATCTCCCAGGAAGAGGCAACCCCCAATTTCAAGGGGAGACAGCTCAGTTCCTTGGAACAGATTACAAATACCTGAAAAGATAGCCCCCCACACCCTAGGGAGTCACAGTGCCCTTCTCCAGAGACGCCCCTCTCCCCAGGCACACACCCCCAAAGCCCCAGGAAAACACAGCCTTCCCAACCACCGGGAAAAATGCTCTCCCACCCACTCCCTGGGAAGACACAGTTCTCTCTATCCTAGGTAACGCACAGCCCCTCCCTGACCCCGGGAACGCGCCGCCCTCCCTGACCCCGGGAACGCGCCGCCCTCCCTGACCCCGGGAACGCGCCGCCCTCCCTGACCCCGGGAACGCGCCGCCCTCCCTGACCCCGGGAACGCGCCGCCCTCCCTGACCCCGGGAACGCGCCGCCCTCCCTGACCCCGGGAACGCGCCGCCCTCCCTGACCCCGGGAACGCGCCGCCCTCCCTGACCCGGGGAACGCGCCGCCCTCCCTGACCCGGGGAACGCGCCGCCCTCCCTGACCCCGGGAACGCGCCGCCCTCCCAGACCCAGGGAACGAGCTGCCCTCCCTGACCCCGGGAACGCGCCGCCCTCCCTGACCCCGGGAACGCGCCGCCCTCCCAGACCCCGGGAACGCGCCGCCCTCCCTGACCCGGGGAACGCGCCGCCCTCCCAGACCGGGGAACGCGCCGCCCTCCCAGACCCGGGGAACGCGCCGCCCTCCCAGACCCCGGGAACGCGCCGCCCTCCCAGACCCCGGGAACGCGCCGCCCTCCCAGACCCCGGGAACGCGCCGCCCTCCCAGACCCCGGGAACGCGCCGCCCTCCCTGACCCCGGGAACGCGCCGCCCTCCCAGACCCCGGGAACGCGCCGCCCTCCCAGACCCCGGGAACGCGCCGCCCTCCCAGACCCCGGGAACGCGCCGCCCTCCCAGACCCCGGGAACGCGCCGCCCTCCCAGACCCCGGGAACGCGCCGCCCTCCCAGACCCCGGGAACGCGCCGCCCTCCCAGACCCCGGGAACGCGCCGCCCTCCCAGACCCCGGGAACGCGCCGCCCTCCCAGACCCCGGGAACGCGCCGCCCTCCCAGACCCCGGGAACGCGCCGCCCTCCCAGACCCCGGGAACGCGCCGCCCTCCCAGACCCCGGGAACGCGCCGCCCTCCCAGACCCCGGGAACGCGCCGCCCTCCCAGACCCCGGGAACGCGCCGCCCTCCCAGACCCCGGGAACGCGCCGCCCTCCCAGACCCCGGGAACGCGCCGCCCTCCCAGACCCCGGGAACGCGCCGCCCTCCCAGACCCCGGGAACGCGCCGCCCTCCCAGACCCCGGGAACGCGCCGCCCTCCCAGACCCCGGGAACGCGCCGCCCTCCCAGACCCCGGGAACGCGCCGCCCTCCCAGACCCCGGGAACGCGCCGCCCTCCCAGACCCCGGGAACGCGCCGCCCTCCCAGACCCCGGGAACGCGCCGCCCTCCCTGACCCCGGGAACGCGCCGCCCTCCCAGATTCCGGGAACGCGCCGCCCTCCCAGACCCCGGGAACGCGCAGCCCTCCCAGACCCCGGGAACGCGCAGCCCTCCCAGACCCCGGGAACGCGCAGCCCTCCCAGACCCCGGGAACGCGCAGCCCTCCCAGACCCCGGGAACGCGCAGCCCTCCCAGACCCCGGGAACGCGCAGCCCTCCCAGACCCCGGGAACGCGCAGCCCTCCCAGACCCCGGGAACGCGCAGCCCTCCCAGACCCCGGGAACGCGCAGCCCTCCCAGACCCCGGGAACGCGCAGCCCTCCCAGACCCCGGGAACGCGCAGCCCTCCCAGACCCCGGGAACGCGCAGCCCTCCCAGACCCCGGGAACGCGCAGCCCTCCCAGACCCCGGGAACGCGCAGCCCTCCCAGACCCCGGGAACGCGCAGCCCTCCCAGACCCCGGGAACGCGCAGCCCTCCCAGACCCCGGGAACGCGCAGCCCTCCCAGACCCCGGGAACGCGCATGTCCCTTCCCACCCCCCACCCCCCCCCCAAAGATGCAACCTCCCTAAAGATACATCCCCTCCCCCACCCTTGAAGATGTAGCACCCACGAAGGTGCAGTTACCCAAAGACACAGCACCTACTCCCCTCCTTAGATAAATGCCCCATCTCCCTTAGACAACAGCCTCAACTCCCCCATTGACAACAGCCCCCAACTCCCCCCCTTAGACAACAGCCACAACTCCCCCCTTAGACAACAGCCACAACTCTCCTCATAGACAACAGCCCCAACTCCCCCCTTAGACAACAGCCCCAACTCCCCCCCTTAGACAACAGCCCCAACTCCCCCCCTTAGACAACAGCCCCAACTCCTCCCCCTTAGACAACAGCCCCAACTCCCCCCCTTAGACAACAGCCCCAACTCCCCCCTTAGACAACAGCCCCCAACTTCCCCCCTAGACAACAGCCACAACTCCCCCCTTAGAAAGCAACCCTAACTCTAGTTCGCCCCCCCCCCCCCTCCCATTGTCCATCGAAGACATCCTCCGAAAAACGCCAACCTCCCCTCCCTTCCCCCCCCCCCCAGAAGACAACCATTGGACCCAGGGATGACAACCCCTTCCTCCACCCTCCAGGAAGAAAGAACCCTTCCACATCAAGACACCCCCCTCTTATCACCCAACCCTTCCCCTTCCCCATGGAACAGCTGCTGGGGTTGTTTAGGGTGTAGTTGGCTCCTTGACAGTGTAGCGAGTGGTGGGTCAGCAAACGTCAATACCCAGAGCAATGAAATGCTCTGACATTTCGAGAGCCAAATTATCATTGGGCGACGGCATTCGCAGAACATTGTAGAATCTGACACTTTATCTATGGAGGTCAACACCACCACCACCATCAACTGTGTTTATTCATTCTGACGAAGGCTATGGCAAAGCAGATGATGTAAGCCTCGTCTGTCACAACATGCACGAATGCTCCGTGAAACAGTTACATAAAGAAAAGACCGCTGAATTGAGACCAATTGGCGTGATATCCTGTACAAATTAGCCGACGTCAGGCGTCCCCTGCTGACAGAGCGTGCTCTATCATCACAAAGACATCAACCAAGAGTTCTTAGAGTTTCTTACATTCTTGTAAAGCCACTTAGCACGCGTAGCGTTTCGGGCTACACCTCAAGCTGGCCCCCCAAGTCTCAGGTCGTACAAGTGAAGCGAAAATATTCAAGAAGGTTTAATTAGAAAGACATTCGCGAGACAAATTTGGCGAGGCAGGAGCGGGAGGTTTGAACATGGCAGAGGCGCGCGCTGCTGTTGCCATGAATGACTCGGCCGACGCCAGCTTTGAAGGCTTTCCCTCGGACTCTGTCGATTTGAGGGAGTTAATGGATAGACTGAATAAGTTGGAACTAATTCAGTCGCAGCGGCGGAAGAATATTGGGGATTTACAGGAGGAGAGCGAGTTTGTTGAGAGTAAAGTGAAGAGTTGTGAGCAGTGCCCCCAGGTTATACTAGATACACTTGTGAGTGTTGAGTCGACTGTGGAGGGTTCCTCGGGTGGGAAGGAAGACCAGGAATTACACCAAGGGAAGGAAAGAAGTAATAAGTTGGTGAGTGAGGTCACACAGAAAATTAAATAGTATAAATCTTAATTGCAACAAACTTGTGCAAAAGTAGGTGCAAATGGAATACTTGGCACATTTAACTATGCCAAATGGATTTTAAAACCTAGCCTAACCATATTTAACTTGACCAACCTAACCTAACTTTATGTAACGTATGCTAATCCAGATTTAGCTAATATATATATATATATATATATATATATATATATATATATATATATATATATATATATATATATATATATATATATATATATATATATATATATAATATATATATATATATATATATATATATATATATATATATATATATATATATATATATATATATATATATGTCGTACCTAGTAGCCAGAACGCACTTCTCAGCCTAATATGCAAGGCCCAATTTGCCTAATAAGCCAAGTTTTCATGAATTAATTGTTTTTCAACTACCTAACCTACCTAACCTAACCTAACCTAACTTTTTCGGCTACCTAACCTAACCTAACCTATAAAGATAGGTTAGGTTAGGTTAGGTAGGGTTGGTTAGGTTCGGTCATATATCTACGTTACTTTTACTTCCTATAAAAAAAAATTGACCTCATACATAATGAAATGGGTACCTTTATCATTTTATAAGAAAAAAAATTGAGAAAATATATTATTTCAGGAAAACTTGGCTTATTAGGCAAATCGGGCCTTGCATAGTAGGCTGAGAATTGCGTTCTGGCTACTAGGTACGACATATATATATATATATATATATATATATATATATATATATATATATATGTCGTACCTAGTAGCCAGAACTCACTTCTCAGCCTACTATTCAAGGCCCGATTTGCCTAATAAGCCAAGTTTTCCTGAATTAATATATTTACTATAATTTTTTTCTTATGAAATGATAAAGCAACCCTTTTCTCTATGTATGAGGTCATTTTTTTTTTTATTGGAGTTAAAATTAACGTAGATATATGACCGAACCTAACCAACCCTACCTAACCTAACCTAACCTATATTTATAGGTAAGGTTAGGTTAGGTAGCCAAAAAAAGCTAGGTTAGGTTAGGTTAGGTAGGTTAGGTAGACGAAAAAACATTAATTCATGAAAACTTGGCTTATTAGGCAAATCGGGCCTTGAATAGTAGGCTGAGAAGTGCGTTCTGGCTATTAGGTACGACATATATATATATATATATATATATATATATATATATATATATATATATATATATATATATATATATATTATAATATAATATATTTATATTAATATTTATATTAATATAATATATATAATATATTTATATTAATATAATATAATATATATAATATATTTGTATTAATATAATATGTATAATATATTTGTATTAATGTAATATAATATGTATAATATATTTGTATTAATATAATATATATAATACAGTATATTTATATTAATATAATATATATAATATATTTATATTAATATAATATATATATAATATATGTATATTAATATAATATAATATATTTATATATATTATATGGGTTTTATCAATTAGGATGCAAACTTAGTTGAAGTGATATAATTTCACTAAAAAAACCTTACCAGAAAAAAGGAATCGATCGAGAAAGTACTTAGGGAAGGTAATAATACACTAACATACCCATATATATTATTTATGTGCAGTATATGGTGTAGTGTTGGTTAATTGTGTAGTGTTAGACATGTCTTAAGAAGGGCAGTAACATATATAATCATGTTAAAAAAGTTAAACATTTTGAATATGGCATCACTAATATAATGGAAATTTGTGGAGGATTTTAAGAGTTTATTGAGCAAATTATAAAAGTTGCCAATATCTAATGTCCTATAACTTAAGAGAGGAACCTTGTAAGGCTTTTTGAGCTCCCACCAGGCTCTGACCTTAAGAATGCAACTTGTAATGGTTAACTAACTCTCAGGTACTGTACCCATTTACTGCTAGGTGAATAGAGGCAACAGGTGAAAGGACTTGCTGCCCAAACACTTCTGTCAGTAATTGAACCGAGGACATAAATGATTGATCACGTTTCCTTTCACCAAATGCCCCTGTACACTAGCAGTAAATACTGTAGGTTCTCGAGATTTGGGCAGCTGTTATGGGGAGTTGCTTCCTGGGGAAGATCAGTAGTTCAACCTTGGGAGAACCTCAAAACAAGCCTAAAGTACATATATGTACTGTGTACATAGACGTCCTGTCCCTGACAAGATGAATTAATGTTAACTCATTTGATGCATATTTTTCAGACATCTGAGGTTTTGCTCAAAAAGATGCCTACCCAAGCAGAGATTTTTGCAGAGCTGGTAAGATTACTTTAGCTTAGTTTTACTGGGTATTCCATATACGAATACTTTATAGTTTTCACTTTTTTTTTTTTTTTAGTATTTGTATTTCGGTTTTAAACATTCAGGATGTCTATGGCAGTGTAAGACAATTCATGCTGTAGTCATGTAGCTCCTTAGTGGCAGATTTACAAGTAAATGAGTCCAGTACTCTATAGCTGTTCAAAAAGATTTCCACATGTACCGACACCAATGGATAATAACTGTAATGTCTTAAAAATTATATCATAAGAATTTTTCTTGCATGAAGTGTATGTACAGTTTGTGTGTGTGCGTATTTATTTATTGACTGATTGATTGATTGGACAAGCTACCAAAGAATTTATTCAATAGATGTATCACAGTTTCATATACAATTTATAAATTGCAGGCAGCATTAATATTTATCTTTTTCTTCTCAGGGTATCCCTGGAGGGGTGGAGGCTTCGGCTGGTGTGGGTGGAGGGGCAGCTATTAATGCCGAGGAGCTTGGAAATGATGTAAGTATGGTACTGTATGTGGCGTTGACCAGAGTTGAGATAGAGCTCATTTTCAGTGTTATTCCTGTTTTCATTTATTCTTTGTAAATTAAAAGTATATAATGTTTCTAATTATTTTTATTTAAAACAAATATGAAGCTAGATTTATTGACAATATTGAAATATTCAGAAGTGCTTAATAAATGTAGAAAGCTGCTAAAGATTTCCAGCATACAAGTTACAAATATTAAATATATATATTTATGTTTAAGAATATTACTACAGTAGCAATATTTGATAACTTTAACATGTGGTTATCTGATATTTAACTTTCTTTCAGTCCACCATGGAGGAGCTCTGGGCCATGAAGGCAATGGAACATTCAGAAATTCATTTTAATGTAAGTAAACATGCTTTAAAAGGTGTTGTTAATATTGGTGTAATGAGAGAATGGTTTGATATTGATGTAGGTGCTTACTAGGGTTATCATGTACCCTTGGTAGATAAATACACATAATGAACAAATCCACAAGGGCCTTGATGAGGGTGCTAACCTATGCGCTGGATGTTCCCAGACACGCTCTAGTCAACTGTGCCATGACATGGTATAAGAATTGCAACCTTGAGTGCTTCTGCCCCCACAAGGGTCCCGAGGCTTCCACTGAAGCCTAACTGGGGTTTCACACAGTTCCCCCATGCACTTGGGCTCTGTCAACCAAATAGTTCTACCTCTGATGGGGGCTTCATTGACTACTTCAATACACTTGAATACAATACAATACAATTGACTACTTTACTATACTGTACACAGAAATTACAATAAGGTGATATATCAAATGAACAAATCCACAAGGACCGTGATGAGGGTGAATTACCTTCATTGCTTATGATTACTGTAGCTGCTTCCTGGGGGTGTGTAACAAAAAGGAGGCCTGGTCGAGGACCAGGCCGCGGGGACGCTAAGCCCCGAAATCATCTCAAGATAACCTCAAGAAGATAGTTACCCTCACCAAGGCCCTTGTGGATTTGTTCATTTTATATATCACGCTATGTTAATTTCTGTGTATAAATACATATAGTAGTGTACAGTATATGGATGTGGTCACGAGGGAGGTCAAAGTGGAAAATGTTGTGAAGCTAACATACGAAAGCAGTAACTGGAGTAGTCCTGAGTCAGATTTTTGGTATGCAGATGATGTCCTTTTAACAGAGTGATAATGATTTACGTAGAGTAGTTGAAAGTTGTATTGATGTGTATAAGAGAAAATATACAACATAATATTTCACTAATTTCTTTGTCATCCACAGTGTATGAATCTTCACTCGTTCAAATAGGTCCGTTACTGGCAGTGGTTTTTGCGTTTGATTTTGCATATGTGAAGAAATATTTTGGGGTTTTCTTAATTTCTTGAATTGTTTTCTGTTCTAGTTGCCTTTCTTCAATCTGATATGAGTGTTTCAGTTTCTGCTCTGTTTCTTCAACCTCCCTGTTTAAATTACTCCTTCTTTGTACTGTGAAAGTCGTGTCTGCCTAAGCATTTCCATTATTTTTTCCTTCTTTTATAGTGTCTTCTGCATTCTCTTCCTATGTTGGACCTCTTTTTGGCTGTCCTCAAAGAAACATGTTTCAGACAACTTTATATGCTTCTGAAGTCAGTTTTTCTATTCCTTCTGTAGGATTTTTATTACTTAGAACAGTTTCCCATGGAATGTTCAAGTTCTTTTTATTTTCTCCCAGTCTATTCTTTTATTATTGAAATTGAATTTACTGAATAACCCCTCATGCTTGATCATTGATTCAGGTCTATTCTGAGTATTGATGGTAGTTTGCACTTCAATGAGCTTGTGATTGGAGTATGTGGTATCTGAAATCTTAATGTTCCTGATTATGTCTTCATTGTTTGTGAATACCAGATCTAGAATATTTTTGTTTCTAGTTGGCTCCGATATCTGCAAGTTGAGTGAAAATTTGTCATCCGTCTTCTCGGATGTTTCACTGATTGTTTATCACTTGTTTCTCTATTTACTAGAGTATTGGTTGAAAAACTTGATAAGTCATATAATTCACATAACACATAGAGGAAGAGATATATAACACAGAGGAAGAGAGATTTAACATTCAGTACCTTCCTCCCTTGGGTAAAAGTGACCATGACTTTTTGGGAATAAAGTATGGAATGTGTTTTAATCTGGAGGAAAATGAGGAAGTTGGAACAGTTGAAAAAACTGATTTCAGGAGAGGACATTATGGGGTGAACAAATCCACACGGGCCGTGACAAGGGTTCGAACCTATGTCCAAGAAGATCCCAGACGCTGCTTTAATCATTTGTTCATTTGATGCATCACCCTATTGTGATTTGTGTGTGTAACATTATAGGGTACTCAGTACTTAGAATTTTTCTTAAGGAATTTGACTGGAAAGACTTATTGTTAGGCAAAAAAGTAAATGAGATGTATGTCAAGTTTTTTTATATATATGATATAGGCAAAAATTTTTGTTACATCAAAGCAGAGATGTAGAACTAGGAAACAGGATTGGTTCAACAGAAATTGCAAGAGGACCCGAGACCAAAAAGAGTTGGAAATGGAATCAATCTAGGAAGAGGCCAAACCCCAAACATACCAGCAATACAAAGATGCAAGAAACAACTACACGGCAGTGAGGGGAAAGGCGGAAAGAAATTTTGAGAAAGGAATAGCGGACAAATGTAAAACAGAACCAGGTCTATTCAATAAATTCAATAACAAAAAATTGCAGGTAAAGGATAATATTCAGAGGTTGAAAATGGGAAACAGAGTCATGGAAAATGGAAAGGAAATGTTTTTTTTTAATATATACAGGAGTTCTTACATTCTTGTACAGCCACTTGCTCACGTAACATTTCAGGCAAGTCCTCAATCCTATGTTCCCCGGAATACGACCCCGCCAAATCGTTTAACAACCAGGTACTTATGTACAAAATGAAATCTTCGGAGAACCAGACACCATAAGAATTTCAGAGAACTACATAGAGGTATCTAGAGATGAAGTGGGAAAAAATGCTCAAGGAACTAGTTAAGAACAAAGCAGTTAGCCTGGATGGAGTTTCACCATGGGTTCTGAAAGTGTGTACACATCTATCTGAATCTGAAAAAGGCTTTTGACAGAGTTCCATATGTGAGGTTGTTGTGGAAACTGGAACGTATTGGAGGAGTGACAGGTATTCTTCTGACACGGATGAAAAATTTTCTAACCGACAGAAAATTGAGGGCAGTAATCAGAGGCAATGTATCGGAGAAATGTCACAAGTGAAGTACCACAGGGTTCAGTTCTTGCACCGCTAATGTTCGTTGTCTACATAAACGATCTACCAGATGGCAAACAGAATTATGAACATGTTTGCTGATGATGCTAAGATAATATGGAAGATAAGAAACTTAGACGATTGTCATGCCCTTCAAGAAGACCTGGACAAAGTGTATGGTGCACCACTTGGCAAATGGAATTAATGCGAATAAATGCAATGTTATGGAATGTGGAATAGGAGAACATAGACCCCACACAACCTATAAATTATGTGAGAAATCTTTAAAGAATTCTGATAGAGAGAGATCTAGGGGGTTCTAGATAGAAAACTATCACCTAAGGACCACATAAAGAACATTGTGCGAGGAGCCTATGCTACACTTACTAACTTCAGAATTGCTTTTAAATACACAGATGATGAAATAACAAAGAAATTGTTCTCGACTTTTGTTAAACCAAAGCTGGAATATGCAGGGGTTGTATGGTGCCCATATCTTAAGCACATAAACAAACTGAAAAAGGTGCAAAGACATGCAACCAAATGGCTCCCAGAACTGAAGGACAAGGGCTACGAAGAGAGGTCAGAGGCACTGAATATTCCAAAACTAGAAGATAGAATGCACAAATGAATGATAGAAGAAAGAGATATGATCACTGAGCAAAATAGTAACAAGAATTGAAAAAATTGATAGGGAAGAATTCCTGAGACTTGGAACTTCAAGAACAAGAGGTCATATATTTAAACTAACTAAACAAAGCTGTTGAAGAAATATAAGAAAATTCACTTTCACAGAGTGGTAGACAGTTGGAACAAGTTAGGTGATAAGGTGGTGGAGGCCAAAACCATCAATAATTTCAAAGCGTTATATGACAGAGTGTTTGGAAGATGGGACACCACTAGCATAGCTCTCATCCTGTGACTACACTGAGGTAATTACATGATAATGTTTCAATTGATGATTGGTTTACCTGGTATTCTTCATTACAACCATTCAGAGTAGTGAAAAGCATATATATAATGAACAATGGTGTTGGGCTCTGAGCGATGACATATGGTCTGATTGGCACCATATAAGTGAGAGTATAAGATTGAAACAAAAGGCATTAGCCAACAGTGTGCCATCCGAAGATGACAGCAGGCGCCTAGTGCACATAATGCCTGATAATGGTTCACTTGATTGGTATACCTGGTATACCTCGATTGGTATACCTGGTATACCTCATTGCAACCATATGGAGTTCTGAAAACCATATGAACATCATTGGTATACATGTGTAATTATGATCGAATTTTAAACAATGACTGCATTCACTTAGTAATTCATGATGAATACTGCATTCACATGATAATGTAACCATGAAAAGATAGCAGGATTTTTTCATGGGTCAAGGTACGCTCCATTACATCTACAGAGAGCTGTTATATCCTTCTTTGCATTATTGATTTCGGGGCTTAGTGTCCTCGACCAGGCCTCCTTTTTGTTGCACACCCCCAGGAAGCAGCCCGTAGCAGTTGTCTAACTCCCAGGTACCTATTTACTGCTAGGTAACGGGCATCAGGGTGAAAGAAACGCTGCCCATTTTGTTTCCGCCTCCACTGGGGATCGAACCCGGAACCTCAGGACTATGAATCCGAAGCACTGTCCACTCAGCTGTTAGGCCCCTAGCCTCCACTCATTTCCAAAATAACCAGTATAGCATACCCAATTCCTTGATACTTGGCCCTGTGGGTGTCCGCAGACTAGGATTCTGAGGGTCAAAATCCAAAGTCAGATATTCACCAGGCATCTCGGTGTTCGGTAGCTTATTTCTCGGGAACCACTGAGTGTTGCAATCTGACATTATTAGATGTGGTAGCAGGGTTTGAGTACTCTTAATGGTATTTTCTTTCCATGTGTCCGGACACTAGGATCTGGTCACCCATGTTCAATGACTTGTTCTACAAGAACCATTGGCCGTTATGGTTTGATATTAATGTGCAAGATAATATGGTGTGTTGGCATTCGTTGGTGGCATTTTAAATTTATTTAGAGATGCAATATAGTACTTAATTTTGATATCCAGAGACTGGAAAGTGGGCTGATTTTGGTACCATCTCTGAACACCATTTATTACCCATAATGCACCATTCTAGGTATCTACCCAGGTCATCCTGCATTTTAAGGACTGTACATCTGTCTTAAAAAAATTTTTAATGTAATCTCTTAAATTTGCCAATAGAAAAAATGTTGATCTTTGTAAGAAGTATGTACTGAATAATTGAAAAAATATTGTTTTAATATTTATTCTACCTGGTTTCTATTAAATGCTGTTAATGTTTCATTACATTTTTAGTGTACTTGAACAATTCTTGGCATTTTTGTGATTTCTTTTAATAGGCACTATTACTTTCTTTGAACATTGGCACCGCAAAGAGTGGTGAGTTTACCCAAAATTTATTGACCATTATAATTAAAATTGACTTTTTTTCCAATAGCTCCTGTGTGCAGTTGATCCTAAACTGCTGAGGCTTACCCCAAAGGATGATGTCATCTATAGTGCCTTCAGAAAAGAATTTCCAGATTTTAATGTTGCAAAGTTGGAGGAAAAAGATCTCAAAAGTTCAGAAGCAAAGGAGGTCAGTGTATCATTTCATTCATATCATTTATTTTCCTCTATACGTATAAATAATGTATATGTACCACGTTAAGAACAGCAAAGGTATTGATCCTTTTGTATGATAGGAATAAGTGGAATGCTGTACACTACCTGGTTGATGGGGTTCTGGGAGTTGTTCTACTCCCCAAGCCCGGCCCGAGGTCAGACTTGACTTGTGAGAGTTTGGTCCACCAGGTTGTTGCTTGGAGCGACCCGCAGGCCCACATACCCACCACAGCCCGATTGGTCCGGCACTCCTTGAAGGAAACAATCTAGTTTCCTCTTGAAGATGTCCACGGTTGTTCCTGTAATATTTCTAGTAGGACGTTGAACAACCGTGGACCTCTGATGTTCATACAGTGTTCTCTGATTGTGCCCAAGGCACCTCTGCTCTTCACTGGTTCTATTCTGCATTTTCTTCCATGTCGCAGTACTCCAGTACGTTGTTATTTTACTGTGCAGATTTGGGACCTGTCCCTCCAGTATTTTCCATGTGTATATTATTTGGTATCTCTCTCGTCTCCTTTCTAGTGAGTACATTTGGAGAGCTTTGAGACGATCCCAATAATTTAGGTGCTTTATCTCGTCTATGCGTGCCGTATATTTCTCTGTATTCCCTCAATTTCAGCAATCTCTCCTGCTCTGAAGGGGGAAGTGAGTACTGAGCAGTACTCAAGATGGGACAACACAAGTGATTTGAAGATTACAACCATTGTGATGGGATCTCTGGACTTGAAGGTTCTCGTAATCCATCCTATCATTTTTCTGGCTGACGCAATATTTGCTTGGTTATGCTCCCTAAACGTTAGGTTGTCGGACATCATTATTCCCAAATCCTTGACATGCTGTTTTCCTACTATGGGCAGATTCGATTGTGTTTTGTACCCTGTATTATGTTTAAGATCCTCATTTTTGCCGTATTTGAGTACCTGGAATTTATCACCGTTAAACATCATGTTATTTTCTGCTGCCCAATCGAAAACTTTGTTAATATCTGTTTGTAGTTTATCAATGTCTTCAGCAGAGGTAATTTTCATGCTGATTTTTGTGTCATCTGCAAAGGATGACACGAAGCTGTGACTTGTGTTTTTGTCTGTCTGATATGAGAATAAGGAACAGCAGTGGTGCAAGGACTGTATCTTGAGGTAGAGTTTTTAACTGCGCTCGGACTCGATTTTACTTGACTGACTGTTACTCTTTGTGTTTTGTTCGACAGGAAATTGAATATACAGCATCCTACTTTACCAGTTATACCCATTGACCTCATTGTGTGTGCAATCACTCCATGGTCACATTTGTCGAATGCCTTTGCAAAATCTGTGTACAGTATATGACATCTGCATTATGTTTTTCCTCTAATGCCTCAGTTATTTTATCATAGTGGTCAAGTAGCTGTGAGAGGCATGATCTCCCTGCTCTAAATCCATGTTGGCCTGGATTGTGGAGGTCATTGGTTTCCATGAATCTAGTTACCTGACTCCTGATCACTTTCTCAAATACTTTTATTATGTGGGACGTTAGTGCAACTGGTCTATAATTCTTTGCCAATGCTTTGCTACCACGCTTGCATCTGGTATCTCCCCTGTGTCCAAGCTCTCCCTCCACACTATACTGAGTGCCTGTGCTACTGGCACTTTGCATTTCTTTATAAATATTGAATTCCATGAGTCTGGACCCGGGGCTGAGTGCATGGGCATATTGTCAATTTCTTTTTCAAAATCTGCCACGCTCGTGCTGATATCAGTTATATTTACAGGTGTTTGAGTATCATTCATAAAGAAATTGTCCGAATCTTCCACTTTCATGCTGAATATCGGAGAGCTAAACATGTCCTCATACTGCTTTTTTAGGATTTCACTAATTTCTTTGTGAAATTAATTTTTAAACTAATTAATTTTAATTAATTTCCTCAGTGTATGAACCTTTACTAATACGAATAGGTCCAATACTGGCAGTGGTTTTCGCTTTTGATTTAGCATATGTGAAGAAATATTTTGGGTTTTTCTTTTTCTTGAATTGCTTTCTGTTCTAGTTGCCTTTCTTCAGTCTGATAGGAATGCTTCAGTCTGTTCGATTTCTTCAATCTCCCTGTTTAAATCCACAATCGCTTTGATCTTGGCCAAAAGGCTGAGAAGCGATAGGAATACTGTACAGTGTATACAATTTGTGGATGTAAATGACAGTACCCATATGGAACAGCTGAAAGCTCTCTCTAATTTTGAAGTTTTGGTGCTCTTAAGGGTTTACCAAATGAGCTTGTGGTTCTGATAATGTCTAGGGGTCTGAGCTTGTGTGTGGGATTCGTGTCGTTTGTGCTCAGTGTCCTTGAATTTTCTTGGGCAGATCTATAATTCATCACCTGAGCATCATGGTGAAAGGTGGCCATTAGTGGACAGTTTTCAACCTTGAGACTTAGTCTGGTGCCTAGGCTCCTTGGCAGTGTTGTCTGATGGGTTTCTGTGGTGTTTGGGTGGTTCAACACGTACAATTGTACAGTCTTACCCCAAATTGCTTCACTTCTCTTTAGGGCTTAGGTTCAGCAAACGTGTCCTCAAAGTACAAGCCTGTTCCACCAGTGGTCTTTGGCATATCACAATTTATAGTTAGGCTGGGACCTTGCTCTGATGTGCTGGTTGTATTGCTGCTGTCTATATGTCCTTTCATAGTTACTTTGGTGTTTGTTGGCCCACATGTCTGTTCCTGACATCATTTGTATGGACAGCATTGTTGCTTATGTTTTCAGAAATAGTTTAGAGATTTATGCCACTCTGGCTGAAGGAAGTGGTTGGTTCAGGGTTCAGTAGTTTTCTCCCTTGCTGTCATTTTGACCTTGATCTTATAGCTGTTACCTCTGGACTTATTAAAGCATTAACGGATAAGAATTTTCTTTGTGTCACTTCTAAGGGTGTTGACAGGACATACCTTAATAAAAAGGGCATTTTATTTATCTTACATACTCACCATGTTCAAATGTCGATTTCACCCTAATGCTTGTGAAATATGTAGACAATTGGGTGTTAATACTTTTTAATTCTGTCTAGGTAATTTGCCTATAAAGCCACAAAGATAGCAAGTGCTAACACTTATAGGAGTTAGCGATCTCGGTTGCCGTTTTAAGATTTACAGTATTAGCCACCAATGAGAACTTTGGCAGAGCCCTAATTTTGGTTGGGGATACCTGTCCTTTGTGAACTGAAGGGAGGAAATGTTATTCGGTTCCATTTCTTTGGTTCCCTTTCCCTTAAAAGAGGGCCAAGCAGAGTCCTTGAGTACACACACAGGCATGTTGAGGATTTCCCTGTTGTTCTGAATGGATCTTTGAAGAAACCTAAATGTTGATTAGACCAGGCACAAATATCTTGGGATCTTCAACCCCCACATTTGATGTACCTAACCTATTTACTTCGTGGGCTAAAGCAGTATATGGATAATAATATCCATATATGGATATATATTTAGTATATGGATAATAATATCCATATACTAAAGCAGTATATGGATATTATTTGGCTACAGAATTCGTCTTGTGACAATCTATCCGTGACTTCCCATCAGGTCACGAAGTAAATAGGTTAGGTACATCAAATGTCGGGGGTTGAAGATCCCAAGATATTTGTGCCTGGTCTAATTAACATTTAGGTTTCTTCAAAGATCCATCCAGAACAGGGAAATCCTCAACATGCCTGTGTGTGTGTACTCGTCTTGTGTTGTACCATCTTGAGAACGACTTGATACTCGCTTCCTCGTTCAAAGCAGGAGAGGTTGCTAAAATAGAGGGAATACAGAGAACATATACAGCATATATAGACACAATAAAGCACCTAAATTATTGGGATCGCCTCAAAGCACTTCCAAATGTACTCTGTAGAAAGGAGATGAGAGAAATATCAAATAATATACACATGGAAAATACTGGAGGGCCAAGTCCCAAATCTACACAGTATAATAACAACATACAGTACTGGAGTGAACACTATTGAAGAAAATGCAGAATAGAACCCGTGAAGAGCAAGGGAGCCATAGGAACAATCGGAGAACACTGTATGAACATCAGAGGTCCACGGTTGTTCAACATACTCCCAGCGAGTATAAGAAACATTGCCGGAACAAATATAGACACCTTCAAGAGAAAACTAGATAGTTTTCTTCAAGAAGTGCCAGACCAACCGGACTGTAATAGATATGTGGGCCTGCGAGCCGCTCCGAGTAATAACCTGCTGGACAAAGGTCTCGCAAGTCCAAAGGGAGAAGAAGAACTCTCAGAATCCCATCCAGGTCCAGGTACAAGAGCTACCAAGTCACCCACAAGGTAGAGGCAATTCATTAGTCAATGCTTGGGTTTCTGCTTTCATACTGGCATCTGGCATGACATCTAGGAACTGTTGAATGTGTTATGCATGTACAGGTACTGATATGCAGTATACATATATATACACACTGTACATCCCTACTGGCATTCCTGTCTCTGTCAGAAGTGGAAACCTAATTACATTCCCTCTTCTCCCCTGCGAGTAAGGTGGTGTCTATCCTGCCACAGTTTCCTTTTCCGTGTTCGTTCTTGCCTCTCCTCAAATCTCGGTATCATTGTCAGCTGATCTTGCGATGGAAAGGTAAGGTTAGGATGACCTAACCTACCACTCTGACCCAGGGAGTGATGTAGGGTTACATAAACCTCAGCTCGGATAGTTTAAAAGGTTGGCAGGCTAATCCCTTTCCTGAGAAGTTATGTACCAGCTTCAGGTCTGTTAATCACACGAAAACAGGAGGGATTGAGTGACACAAGACGGAGATAAAGTTGATTGATTCGGTGTGTACTGTGGCTGTCTCCCTCCCAGCTGTAAGATGTAATTATCAGAAATGTTTAATGTAATGAAAGGTAAGAATTGCCTGAATGTCAGTGATAGTGAGATTCCAATGTACTGCTTTACCCTGTGAAAGTGTAGATTACAGTATTTTGGAACAGGTCACAGAAAGTGACTGTCTAGATCAGGCATGTCAAACATGCGACCCTTTGCAAGCACATCTACAGTCTGCATAAAGGATACTGTAATGTGGTCATTTGGTTATGGTTTGGATTTGAGTAAACTCGCATGCTTCTGCCAAGGCAGACGAAAGCCTGCAGATAGAACTATTAGAAATTTAGTCGGACAGTGTCTTGAAGTGGGGTCTGACGACCTAACGTTTAGGGAGCATAACGAAGCAAATATTGCGTCAGCCAGAAAAATGATCGGATGGATTATGAGAACTTTCAAATCCAGGGATCCCATCACAATGGTTGTATTTTACAAATCACTTGTACTGTCGCGTCTTGAGTATTGCTCCGTACTTGCTGCCCCCTTCAGAGCAGGAGAGATTGCTGAAATAGAGGGAATACAGAGAACATATACGGCATACATAGACGCAATAAAGCACCTAAATTATTGGGATCGTCTCAAAGCTCTCCAAATGTACTCGCTAGAAAGAAGACGAGAGAGAGATCAAATAATATACACATGGAAGATACCGGAGGGCCAAGTACCAAATCTACACGGTAAAATAACAACATACTGTACTGGAGTGAACGATATGGAAGAAAATGCAGAATAGAACCAATGAAGAGCAGGGGTGCCATTGGCACAATCAGAGAACATTGTATAAAGATCAGAAGTCCACGGTTATTCAACATCCTCTCAGCGAGCATAAGAAATATTGCTGGAACGACTGTGGACATCTTCAAGAGAAACTAATCATTTTCTCCAAGGAGTGCCGGACCAACCGGGCTGTGGTGGATATGTAGGCCTGTGGGCTGCTGCAAGCAACAGCCTGGTGGACCAAGCTCTCACGAGTCAAACCTGGCCTCATGGCAGGCTTGGGGAGTAGAAGAACTCTCAGAACCCCATCAACCAGGTTATCTTAAGACGAGTTCGGGGCTTAGTGCTCCCACAGCTCAGTCCTCGACCAGGCCTCCTTTTTGTTACACACCCCCAGGAAGCAGCCCGTAGCAGCTGTCTAACTCCCAGGTATCTATTTACTGCTAGATAACAAGGGCTTCAGAGTGAAAGAAACTGCCCATTTGTTTCCACCTCCACCGGGATCGAACCCAGAACCTTAGGACTATGAATCCCGAGCGTTGTCCACTCAGCTGTCAGCGGTTAGCTGGTTTCTTTTCATACCTATCTGAAAAGTTTAAAAACTTCAGAAAGTTTGCCACTAGGATTATGGCAATGTTCTGTTCTACCTATGTGTGAACAGTTATTTTCCTTTGTGAAATCAACAAAAACTTCTCGGAGAATAAGGCTGGCTGATCAACACTTGTGATTTCTGATCAAAGTGGGAACTGCACAGACATTTCACCAGACATTTCATTAAAAAGGTGTCAAGCCTCAGGACAAAACACAAAAATTTTTTTGAATAGTTGTAAATAAATGTTCATTTTGAACTGTTGTAATTTTTGTATAATGTATTTGTTGCTATAGCATAGAAGTCTATGTTGCTGTTTAAAAAAAAGAATTCTTTTGTTAAATTAAACTACAGTACTTCATTACATTGCATTCATGAATGTGGCCAGCTGCTAAACCATTTGTATGCACATTGTATGTTTCTATATAGTACAAATATTCTGTAATGATTTTTATTATTTTTTCAATAAGTTGTGGTGTGTGGCCCTCATGACAACACAAATGTGACCCATATGACCCTCGGTTTTGCCGGGTCTAGATGGTGTCCACCACTAAGAGGAAACATCTTTAACTCTCCTGTGACATGTATCCTTTGCCGTCAGTCACCTTAAGAAGTACAAAGATTCACCAGAGACAAAGGTGGTGGCAGTATCAAGAAGGTTTTAAGTTAGTTTTTAAAGGACTTAAATTGTGGCAGTGGTTTGCGGAGATATAAATTGTGACAGCTTGTCGAATTGTTGTAGTCCCTCTTAGTCGTTTACCTCCTTGTAAAATGTTTTAATTTTCAGGACTTTCATGTGTCTTGCTTTCTAAATGTCCCTCATGGCCATTTGTTTCTCAATAGAATTCTTATTGAATGATACATTCAATATTAATCACCTCGTGCTTTTGTTCTTGTATTGGCATCCTCAGTGATACCAGTATTTAGCACATTTTGAATATCCAGCAACAATGATGGTGCTACATAGTCTCCCTGGCTAGGTACCTTCTTTTTATAATTGCTTGATAGCTATGTGGGGATGAGGGCTACAAAGCCGAACAGCCACATAGACTAATCAGTTACCAGGGTAGCCTGACCTCAGGCTAGGCTACAAGAGTTTAAAAACAAACAAAAAACTAATAGATTGTAAGGTAAGAGGTCAACTCATACTCAATTGTACACATTTTTGGATATTCTAAATGTCTTTACATTATTTATTCCCATTCTATATTGTCATTTTACTGCTCAGAATTAGATAGTACAAAATATTTCCGTGTAGAATCAAGATCTGGCTGTACTGTATCATGAAGATCAGGCTGGCCTTTGTCTTGCCTTGTATTATACCAAGTGGGTGCATCACCTTGGTCTTTGGTGCTAAGAAATATCAACTTCAGTTGTAAAGGTAGGCAATGTAACATTGATATGCTATTACTGTATTTGTAAAGGTATCTCACGTCATATGTTTTTTTTTTTTTCCAGAAATGGAGACCATTTTGTATCGCCTTTGAGAAGGAAATTGAAGACTATAGTTTTGCCACCCTTGTGCGCATAGACACCAATGATGAATATTCTGAATCGAATACAATCCTTGTTACTCGGATACAGTTTTTCTGTATAGAAATTGCTCGCAACAGGGAGGGACTGAATGACGCTATTAGGACACAGTTCAAGCCCAAGCCTCGTTCCAAGAAGACACAGCAGTGACAACAGGACTGGAACTAATTCAGATTACAGTACTGTAGGAAAATGTACAGTATGTTCGAACCTTCTTAAATATTCTATTATTTAGCGCTATGAAATTATGAGATGACCGAGTATTATCTTTAAACTTCTCAGCATGGGAGAGTTCCTACATGATAAATGTGCCTTTTCTTATTACACGATGTGCATCTTTTAACTGGTGAACCAGTAAAATACTCGCCTGAAATGTGTTTTTCCCATAATTTATATTTTATATTTTTGTACAATTGTAAAACCTACAGTAGGTTAGGTTATTAAGGTTGTTTTGATGTAATACAGATATGGAGTTACTGTACTGATATACTGATGTATAAATACATGTCATGACATGGAATTTTACTGGTATAGATGGAGGTACTGGAGCTTCAACCAAGGACAATTTAAATGCAAAGTGAATGCTAATATTTTTTATTGTTGCTGCTGCAGGCAGCTACTTTATTTTACACACCCATACTCATCCTGTGGGCGGTAGTGCAGAAGAGAATTACTTAGGACAGTCTTAATCAAACCTTGACAGAGTTCTTTATATTAACAATTACATATAACACACACCTTGTAATTAAAATGACAGCTAAGTATAAACTTTTGCATTGCAGCATTTATGTATTTACTGAAGTGAAATCTGAAATTCTTGCATTGTATCCATATATATTATCATTTTGTAATAGGATGGTTTGCCATTTCATGCTGTGTGAGCTTAGCTTTATCTCTAAATGGCATACTTTACCCAGTTGTGTTTACTTGGGACACACCTATTGTGTGTCCCTGTCTTTGTCCATTCACTATGTAGGTTCGCTGATAATAAATATGTCAGATAAATGGGATTGACTAATGAGCAAAGTGCAGTATATTGGTCCATAAAATCAAGGTTTTATTGAAATTGATTTAAGATATTGCAGCAAGAATATAGAATATATTTGTGGATCCAATGAATGTTGGATAGATTCCAAGAGCAGGTATGGATAATTACTTGTTGCAAGGGTAGAAGAGTTTTCATTAGAACTCTACTATAGAAATGGATTTATTTGTTCAAAAAATTAAACCTTTTGGTAGATTGTCAGTTTGTAAACTAGAGTACTGTATACTTTTTGTTATGCCTTGTGAGAGTACGGTATAGGATTTTTCAATTTACAGTAGCAAACTTTGTTTCCAAAATGACACCAGCAGTTTGACTGCAATTAGCATGTCAAACTGCAAAGAAACAAAATTCCTTGCACAGAAAGAAAGGTGGGCTTTTTGAATAATTTTATATGATCATTTTTAATAATCATTAATCTGATGAGTCCATTTTTGTATACATGTAAGTGTGGCTTCTTTGGTAATTCCTGAATTTCCATGAACATAAACATGCTGTCTTTGTTGTGTGTATTGCTTATTTCTAGATGGCAAAACAGAACAGTTTTTAATCTGGTCATGAGAACTGTCTTCTTCCAGCAATAGATTAACCTATCACTTGGGAGAGCTAAGGCAGGTACAGTATTTGTGTTCCATCTCTGATTTGGATATTGTATTTTATATTGTTCTCTGCTAACTTTGGATAGATGACTGGCAGACATATGATCCCCAGAACAATCACATTGTATGTATATCTCCATGGCTTTTTTCATTTTCTTTTTTTTTTTTTTACCCCTATATAAAAAAAAATTTTGTCCTAGTTACATATTGGCTTAACTCATTGTGCTTACATGTATACTGTATTTGTGATAGACAACTGTATCCCCCCCAATTATCACGATAAAGATACTGTCTGATTCTTAATCCTTCAATATAGATGCAATTTTGTGCTCATGTATAGGCATTCTATGTACAGTAATGTGCAAGATTTTTTTGATTTTCTGGGAGGGCCTCTTCAGCAGTTTGAGAGCTACCAAGTACCCCACCAAAATAGGGCATTTCATTGGTTAAATGCTTGATTTGTGACGTTAGTAATAATTAGTATTCTTGTACTGGTGTAGTACTCTAGAGAGTGTAATTACTTCAAACATCAGTAAAATGGGCATGCAGTTGAGCTGTTCACTTTATCTGAGACTGGATTAGATGAAAATGTTTAACTCCTGTAGTTATGGTAACTTGTCATATTACTCCAAGAGTGTTGTCATTCGACATTTTCCTGTGAGAATGTCGACACCAGTGTTTGAGGTGTGATCGGTGAGCGAGACATCTCATGTCAGCGAGAGTAACCTGGAAACAAAAATATGATTGTTAATAATTGCGAAAAAGGGCATTTAATTTGTTATAGTCCAGTTTAATTCGGGGCACTTAATGGAGTGCCGCCCTGCTCTTTATTGTCTGAACTGCATTGTCCCTCTTACGGTTGTGCAGATCCTTGCTGAATGTCCCGACTTTTGAATATCCCACAGTTTTGACGGTGCTACACAGCCTCCCTGACTTGATTTCTTTTGATAATTACTTGCTGTAATTACTCATTGTGTGTGTGAGAGAGTTGTGAAACCTAGACACTATTTGTACTTGTTAGTATATACCCTACAGAATGTGCCATTTTAAGCATTCAGACAGTAATTACTTCAAAATTACAGGTATTTTACTAGAAAATTAAGATTGTATAGATGCATTTGGTTAGATGTTGACTGGTAATTATTAACAGATGCAGAATACATTGATACTAAGGTTAAGAATGATAGGAACTTGTCATAAAGTACATAGAGATATCCATTTAGTTATGCATTCAAAAGCAAGTTGTTACTGTATCGTCAGTAATATTAATGAAATATTTAGGATGTTTTCAATGAAAGCTTAAATTTTTGTAGGAACACACCTTCCTGGGGGAAAGGGGGGAAAATCCTGCTGATATTGTATCGAGGGGAGAAAAATCTGTTAATAAAATATCAATAAGATTCCACTCTTCCCCCCCCCCCCCCCCCATGGAAGCAGGTTCTTAGAAAAACTTAAGCTTTCATTATAAACATCCAAAATATTTCCTTAATTAATGATACCGTATGTAGATTTTGATTATGTATCGACTTTCTTCATTTTCCTGCAATTTGGATATATAAAACGTTTATGGTGTTATTGTAATGTATAGCATAAATAAAACATTTCAACAGATTGCATTTGATTTAATAATTGCTTACATAATTTGAATATAACATTTCCAGAATTTGTTCAATTGAACATTTTCATAATTTGTTCAATTGAACATTTTCATAATTTGTTCAATTGAAAATTTTCATAATTTGTTCAATTGAACATTTTCATAGTTTGTTCAATTGAACATTTTCATAGTTTGTTCAATTGAACATTTTCATAGTTTGTTCAATTGAACATTTTCATAGTTTGTTCAATTGAACATTTTCATAATTTGTTCAATTGAACATTTTCATAGTTTGTTCAATTGAACATTTTCAGAATTTGTTCAATTGAACATTTTCGGAATTTGTTCAATTGAACATTTCCAGAATTTGTTCAATTGAACATTTCCAGAATTTGTTCAGTTGAACATTTCTATAATTTGTTCAATTGAACATTTCTATAATTTGTCAAATTAAGCTTTGAATTTTTTCAATTGATCCTTTCCGGAATTTGTTTAATTGAACCTTTCCAGAATTTGTTCAATTGAACACTTCCAGAATTTGTTCAATTGAACATTTTCATAATTTGTTCAATTGAACATTTTCATAATTTTTTCAATTGAACATTTCCATAATTTGTTCAACTGAACCTTGAACAAGCATTTGATTTCAACTTCAAGTGATTTTCAATTACATATTGTACACTTCAAACAGCTGGAGAGGATTAGTTCTACAGTTGTGGCCACTGCATTCCTAGTTTCTCCTAGCATTAAGGTGGGTGTTATTAGGGTGGTAAGGTGGGTGTTATTAGGGAGGGAGAGTGTTGGTAAGGTGGGAGTGTGGCGGTACTCACTCAGTTGTGCTTGTGGGGGGTTGAGCTTCATCTCTTCGGTCCCGCCTCTCAACTGGCAAAGGAGAAAAAAAAGGAAGAGAATTATATAATGACCGAAAGTAAAGGTGGTAAAGAGGAGACTGGAGGAGAAAAAAGGAGTGACTGAAATAATGGGGAGGGGGGCGGGGAGTATTCTGGTGATGGGGACCTTGGGGTACCGAGAGGGTAAGGGGGTGGGGTTTGGGTAGGTGGGGGCACCGCACGATGTAGGTAGGGGGGGATGTCTCAACTTATGGTGGAGATGCATGGGAGGGGGTGAAACTTTCACCAAGTGGAGGTCACTGTCCCCTCCACACCCCTCCTCTCCCAACCCGTCTCCTCCCCTCCCCTCGGCCACATGGGGGAGCTACACAAACATTGGCAGAGGAACGAATTTTGTTTTTTGTAAGCCGTGAATGTGAAGTCTTTCGGTGTATAAAACCTGTTGAAAGGAAGATCTCGCCCCTGGAGAGGTAACGTTAGGTCCAGGAGTGTCTGGAAGAGGTGACGTCCAACAGGGGGGGGACAAGGTGAGAGACTAAGGATTGTAAGAGCTGACTAAACTCCAAAGGCGCGTTAATCCAGCCATCAAACCCCCGGTTTATGAATGAAAAACACTATACACACCCTGTCCTCAGCCCAGGCTCGTTAAAGCAGCGGGCGTCCCCCCTCCCCCTCAAGGACTCTTATCATTCTTTTACGTATTGTGCATTAAAATAAGTTTGTTTTCATTCCCAAAATAATATTATTATAAGTTAAGTTCTATGTGCTTTAATATACCTACAATTTTTCTCTCATCTTTTATTTTTTTTCATGCTATGTAACTGTTATCATTTTTATAAATTTTGCAAGTATTTACCTACTTATAAGTTTCTTAGATTAAGGACCTGCCCGAAACGCTGCGCGTACAAGAATGGCTTTACAAGAATGTAATTACTATACTATGTATCCTCACAATCCCAATGTACCTTCTTGTATATATATAAATAAATAAATAAAATAAATAAATAAATAGGTATAGGTAGTCATCGGTCAAGTTAGGTGTTTATGTTTATTTGACGATTATTCGTATTTGAAGTACTTGGGTGAAGCATTTACAGAGTTCGTTTCGAACAGAGGTCGTCAGCGAAACACTGTTCGATATATGTTCGAACATCATCAGTTGAGTCGTGTGTGTTTTTTATTCATAAACAGAGTTTTGGCGGCTGGATTAATGAGCATTTGGCCTTTGTTGATGAGGACGGGCTGTTACACACGACTCAAAACTTATTTCGTTCGAACGTTTATTGAACGTCACACAGTTCCTGTGTTCGAATCGCATGTCTGCAAATGCTTCACCCACATACTGTAAATGCAAATTATTGTCAACAGAAACAAAACTCCTAACACAATATGCCGTAATATTAATTTATATTTGAGAATTTGTTTAACTGGCAAAGACGTTTTCACCACAAACACAATCTCAATACAAGTACAGGCCCACTAAACATAAACATTGGCTCACTACAATTAAACATGCAGGTTCTCTACAAACACAGAGGCTCACTACACATAGAGGAATACTACACTATACTAGCATGTACACAAGCCCACTATACTACAGAGGAATTGAGAGGGTAGATAAAGATAAACTGTTTAACACGGATGGTACGCGAACAAGGGGACACAGGTGGAAGCTGAGTACCCAAATGAGCCACAGTGACGTTAAAAAGAACTTTTTCAGTGTCAGAGTAGTTAACAAATGAAATGCACTAGGCAGTGATGTGGTGGAGGCTGACTCCATACACAGTTTCAAATGTAGATATGACAGAGCCCAGTAGGCTCAGGAACCTGTACACCGGTTGATTGACGGTTGAGAGGCGGGACCAAAGAGCCAGAACTCAACCCCCGCAAGCACAACTAGGTGGGTACACACACAGGCTCACTACAGACACAGAGCCTCACTATAATCAATAGGCACATCGGGTACAGATCAAATGATCCCATATCATTACGCACACGCCAACCTCTGGTTCGAGGCGTCCACATACAGAGGGCGCGACGACGTATTGTGCTTTACTAATAAGCTGAGATGTTAAGTACAGGATGTTACTCTAACCTATACTTAAATTCTACTACTCTTGATATGTCCGCTGGTCTACACTCGACTCTTACCGCACTCGATCTGTCCCCCGAAGACACATCCTGAATCTGGTCACCTGCCATTACTCACAAGAACTCCAACACCCAGTGTTTCATAAGTATTTTTACGGATATAGATGATGGCACTCAATAGCATTCTGACGTTATTTCAGTTGTTACCTTCCCCTCCCCCTCCCCCCCCTAAGCTATGTTACCTGTCATAGCTACCAAGAGGTGACCTCTGATGTCAACTGTTGCTTGAGCCGAACATCAGCATTGTGTTCCCTGACACAGTGAGGGTACTCACTCCCGGAGCACAACTTCGAGTCATCTGTCAGACCCGTGCACAGCTCTGAATCGTAGTTTTGAGCAGCGATGGTCTCAGGCGAGAAGTTTCTGTCCATGACAAGTAACTGGTGCTATGGACAGTCGAAAGCTTGTGCTTGACAATTGGTTACTTCCTGTTTGACAGTGGTCATCATGTAGACACTATCGTCCTAGATTCACCAACGAGTCATCATCACTTGTGTCTGGTAAGTCACGTGGAGTAATCTGTAATATTTCTACCGTGTTTCATGTCATTCAGCTCTTGTGAGTACGGTGAACTGGGATCAGGATCTGTGTTGTGCAGCTACAGAACACAGTCTACACTTGTACTGAAAGTGCGCCGCCACAAATACACTCCTTGGTGGCAAAAGAATACATACACTTAGTGGAACTTGGTGTCACTATACACGGGAGGAATTACCGCAATGATGTGAGTATCAAGCAGCCTTAAGGAGCTGCAACGAAATACATGTTACTGTTGAAGCCTGCTGCCTCTCACCGCAATCCGTCCTCTTAAAAATTACGTCGTTATTACTATAACGACGTAAAATTACTATAACAAAAAATAGACCGTAATCTGAAAATGAAAAATAATTGAAAAAATGTGGATTTTTTTCGAAAACAGCAAGTTAAGGGAGCCTGGTAGGTTAGGAAGGCAGGAAGTTCTCCTAAGGTTTCAAAACGTCATGAAAGCAGCCTAGGCCACAGGACCCAAAACAGAAAACGGGACAGTACATCACTTTCTTGAGCCGATTCCATTTTAAATTACGTCCTTTTTTTTTTTTAACCTGAGTGCGCATACGAGCGAAAGCGACGTAATTTGTAAATGGACGGTTTGCTTAGCCAGGCAGCAGCGGGGCAAGAAGCCTGGAGAGCTTTCGTAGTGTAAACTCTTGCAGAGAACTCTGAAAACACCCAAACGGTAGACACAAAAGTGATTTGGCCATATTAATCATTTATCATCCTCAATGAATGTGTAATATATACTGAGGCGAGAAGTGTTTTGGTCATGAACTATTTCAAGAAAAAGTGCTGTGCGCTTTAAGCTTTTAGGTCCAGGTCAACAAGGACTTTCTGCTCAACATACATATCATACCCCGTGTGAAAATCTGCAAGTAGAACACCGGGTGGAGGAACCTATGGAGATACCATTTGCTTGCTCGTACATTGAGACCATCATGGCTTAGAAAAAGGACCTGTTTTGAACAGTTTCCTAAGTACTGTGTATATTTTGGGATGTCAAGAGGCGTACAAACTGTACCCCGCTACTGCTGTCCATCATCATTCCAGTAGTCTCATCCACGATCACGTTGGTGCAAGACATCCTGAGATCATCATCCCGATGACTGCGACAAGTCGGAAAGTCGATAAATTTCTTCTGAGACTTAAGGCTGAAGTCTGCCATACTACTTCAGATCAAACAGCCAACACTATAGAATCTGTTCCACCAATAAAACTATTCAACACGCTCACAAAACAAATCAAAGAGTCCTGAAAGACATCATTAACAAGAATGTGACCTCTACCAACACTAACATATAAATAAAGCTTACAGTTAACTACAAGAACAAGGAGACATCCAATTTGCTCATGAACAACTCTCCCCACTAGTGAAACGCCATTGAAAAGACTAATGATTGATGAAGATTAAGCCACCCAAAAGGTGGCACGGGCATGAATAGCCCGTAAGTGGTGGCCCATTTGAGCCATTACCAG